CATACAGTCACCTATATGCATACAGCAATAATAATGTATATTTTATTCTTCTGCCCTTCCTATCCCCCCTTCCCCTCCCCTCCCCTCCCAACACTTCTCTCTACCCAATCTAATGTGACACACTTTTTTTTAATTCTTAATGATCCTAACTGCCCCACACCTGTCGTACCTTTGTCTTATTGTCTATCCCATCATATTGGATTTACCAATTTGTTTCTTTCTTTCCTCATTTGGTATAGATATGTATGCACATTCTTAACTTTACAGCCACATGTACCAGAAGGAATCCTTCTCTCCTTTCCTCTTAATTTATTTATAAGCCATGTGGTTGCTATGTATATATATTCTCTGCCTTGGTGTATGTATTCCCTCATACCTGCCGCTATCATGTTATCAGAATTCTTGATTTAAGCTATTTGTGTTATCCTATATGCAATTTTGTTAATTTATTTTATTTAGATTTATATATGCTTTACACAAAATTAGGATTTAGAGCTGTGCCATTAACTGGGTTCATTGATTTGACCATCTGGGTGTGATAATATACAGAGTCCTTGGTTGGAATTCTGTGAGGATCTCATTAGGGAAAAATAGAAATGGATTATTATTGAGATTCTGCTTTGTACCTGGTATAAGTTAGGTGGTTTTCCAAGCATTTTCTCATTTACCTCTAACGATAATCTTATTTCCTGATTTCGTACAATACAGATGCTAGGTTTTGGGGCTATCCAAAACCTCTCAAATTCTAAGCATTATAATAGGGGATTTGATTTTGAATGTCTTTAAGTCCAAAGTCCAAGAATTACAAAAATGATATTTTTAAGTATTTTTAGCTGTATATGGACCATAATATCTTTATTTTTATTTGTTTATTTTTATGTGGTGCTGGGGATCGAACCCAGAGCCTCACACATGCAAGGAAAGCGCTCTACCACTTAACTACAACCCCAGCCCCAAACTGCAATTTTTAAAGAACTAATATCTCAGAAAGATTTTCTTTGTTTTCAATATCTTAATTTTTTTCCCTGATAACTAATATGGCAAGATTGTATTCTAGGGGCTAGGGTTGTAGCTCAGTGTGGAGCGCGTGCCTTGCACGTATAAAGTGTTGGTTAGATTCTCAGCACCACATAAAAATAAATACATAAAATAAAGGTATTGCATCCATCTACAACTGAAAAAAAAAGATTATATTCTAAATTTAGAAAATGAGGTAGAATATAGAAAGGACCTCAAATCTAGAAATTGACATGTTTGTTAATATGTAAATCCATATATTTCCAGATTCAGAATCCTGAACTCTCTTCTTTAGATTATGTTCCATAATGTCATTTCCTACATCTTTACAAAGGGGATAATTACCTATTTTGTATTTTTTGAGGAATCAAAATAATCAAAATGGAAACACTCTGATAAAAGAATAAAGCCCCACACAATTAGGTAGTGTTTATAAATGATAAATTCCGTTAGTGGGATTTTTCTGGATTACTTATGCAGCAACTATTTCTTGAACATTATTCTGTGCTAGATGCTATGGTAGGCAAATAAAGTTAAAATTATTTTCATATAATCTAGTGTTTGCTTAACTGATTTTAAACTGGGCTTACAGAAGTCTTGAAAATATTTTTCATTTTTATCTTCTTACACAGTTAAAAAAATACATAGTATTTTAAAAATATTTCATCAGATATTGGTTTTCTTGCCACATGCAGTGAGGTCCTAAAACAAACTCCTTAGTATATATTGCAGGATCTTTTCTGTTCTGGTGTTCCCCATTTTTAAGTTTTCTTTCACAAATGTAATATGCTTAAAATATAAATAGCTTTTTGTTCATCCTGAGTTTCCTCAGAAGAGAAGCTCTGTGGGGATCTTTGGTGTAGCTGATGAGGAAGTTCTTCACAGGAATTTGTAACTAAGGGAATCTCCTGGGGAAACCACTTCTCTCAAAGATTCTTATATTCTAGGTGATTAAGAGGATTGCTCTGGGGTGAAGAGGGAATGCTAAGCCATGTTTTGCCTTTTAGCTGGGTGGGCCTTGGCAACATACCTAACCTTGCCAAACCTCAAGTTTCCTTATAGGAAGAATGTAAAGGATGCCATGTAGATTGCCCAAATACAGTCATCAGGGCTGCCTCAGACATACAAGAAGCATTCTGAATGGTAATTTCAAGGTTCCACTGACCAAGAGGCATATTCCATCCTTCATCCAGTCCTAGAAGGAAACCTGCATGGTTTATTGCATTGCTCACATCTTGGTGGGCGCTGACTTGCCCCAAATAGTGGACTCAAGGATTTACATTCTTTCTTAACATGATGTGAATTTCTGCTGTAAAGGGAGGGAAGGAATTCTGAATGTACTTATTATAATTATAACAAATGTTTGACTAGGAGACATGATATTGACGATAAAATTTAGTTGATTTGTGATGGTGTTCTTATTTCTAAAGGAAATATAATTTATAATTATATTTTCTCTATACAGAAATAGGACTTTGAATGTGTGTCAGATAAATTTGTACTGTGATGCACTTGAAGAACATGCTGTGAATCTTTAATTGTGTTAAAAATTATTTTTTTACTGCAGCATTATACACGTTATGTATATACTTAGTGTTTGAATAGATTCTTGGAATGATAATTACATAATCATTCAGTACAGTAGAAACATCATTATAGTCAAATACTAATTAGCTACTCAAATAAAACAAAACAGAACCTAAAAGCAATTTAATATGTTACAAAACCAAATATATGTTTGAAACTATTATTTGCATTTAAGTGCGAGTCAATATTTAAATTATCCGTGGGAGGCAACTAGTATTCTGGATACTTCCGATCTAATTGATTACTTGAACATGTTGTATTTTATCACTGTCTTCATGACCAGCACTGTGTAATGGAGCATCCAAGAAACATTTCAGCAGTTACTCTAGGTTTCATGTATTACAAGTGCCTGGGTCTGCCTCTGGGCTTCTGCAGAATTAGAAGATTGACTTGTTTTCAGGCCATGGTTTTCTAGAGTTCTTCACATACTGGCTTCATAAGCCTCTGGGAACATGAGTTTCAGTAGTAAATCACTCATTTTCAGAGTTCTGGTTTAAACATCTTTGGTGCAAAGAGTGAGCATCCATCACCTGTTTTTCTTTTCCAGTGCACCTTAGGTATATGGGACAGTCCTATTGATAACACTGAACTTGTGACCAAGGGTGTGTTTATAATGGGAGACTCTCCAGGTGTGTTTATAATGGGAGAATAGTCAGGTGAAATGTAAACTTTGGTAGGGGGCTGTGAGAGGGTGCAAAATAGGTTAACAAGTCCCTCAGAGAACAACTCTCAAGGGACACCACCATCACATTCCTTGAGAATTGCTTTTGTGGATAAAATGGGTTTTTTCTAGTGGTAAATGTTTCAGTGCTTTTTGTGAGTATGTTTATGGCCAGGTGACTTCCTTGATCTGTTGTTTACATATGGAATTTCAGTGAAGACAGGTGATACAAGTTAGGTGTTGTCCTGATGCCTAGGTCTAGAAGCCTAATAGGATTAGAGACATTCTTGTGCTTTTTCCCTTTGTTCTTCTCTTTGTCCTTTTCTTTACTATGGTCACTGTAGACATTAATTTTGTTTCTTTATGAGAGGTTTGTAATACAATCAAAAGCAAAAAATAAATAAAAATAAGAAAGGAAACATGCAGGATGAAAGAATACTATAGACTTTCTGATGTATTACAATGAACAGATGCTAGCTTCTCCTAGCTATAGCTACTATATATTGGAAATGTGGTTATTATCTAACTGTTCAGTCTATGTTTCTGTAGTTACAGGTTTTTCTAGGAAAACAAAATATCTCAGATCTTGAAAATATTCTCTAGTGAAGCAGTAACATTATTACTCAAATATCCTCTTCAGAATACTCTTGATTTATTTGAAGATAATATAATTCAAATTGACTATGAAGTAAAATCATAAATCATGCCAAGGATTCAGATTACATGAAATCTCTCACAGGATGGTATAGATTTTATTCACAGGCAAAATTATGAAACAGCCAGGAACTGGCAGAGTCGTGCCAGTGAAGAACTAGGTGGTTGGATCCTTCAACACTGAATTATTTGAACATCAGAATTGAGAAAGGACTATAGGAAAAGTTACAAAGTCTTTTTTTTTTTTTTACAAATATAGTTATGTTTAAAATCATTTAAAAATTAAATGTTATCATAATGTGCTAGTATAGAATATTGGAAAAATTCTGCCAAAAATTTCAGTTTATTTATTTTTATCATTGTTGTTGTTCCTACTAAGAATTTACACATAGTAGCAGATATTGCTGAACTTATTTTAATTGTTTTGATTTTTCCTTTTCCTCTCTAAGTTCCCATCAAATTTCTTTTTACCAATATTTATAAAATTTTGGTCCTTATTGTAAGTGGGTTCACTTCAAGTAATCTTTTTTTTTTAGACCTGTCTTGAACAATGAGGGCCCCCTATATATAAAATATATGTGTGAATTATGAGATTCTGCATTTATAGCCATATAATTGGCTGTGTTTTAGTGGTCTAAAATAAATGTCATATTTTCTGAGAATTAATTGTGGCTAAGCTGTAAACAGACAAGTCATGGATATTTTTATTCAGTGAACTTGAGCAGGAATCAGGGTATTTATTATATAGAGCTGATTATTTTAGATGACTAACCCCATACTTTTCTGTCATTTTCTGGGATGTAAAAAAATGCTTTATTACAAGTCTATTAACGTCTTCCATTGGTTAAACACTTTATTCTGAGAAAGTGCTTTTGAATCATAATTTCATTATCCTTTGTACTATGTGGTATTTGTTGTGATGAAATTGCTTGTTCTCGGAAAGTTTTACCAGAGTGTTCCTTTAAATCTCTTCTCCATGTGTGGACTCTATGACTGGATATAAACTGGGGTCTTAGGAAGAGTGTGAAAGAAGTAAAAAAAATATTTTGAGATCCCGGTAGTGACACAGATGTTTTTGCAGGTACCTTGTGATCTATAATCCTTTAGAACAGCACCGAGACTCAGTAGTTTCAACCTATGTGAATAACCCCAATGTGCAAGTGCTCACGGACACAGGAAAACTTCTGGATATTCAAGTCAGTGCAGTATGGATTAAAGAAGATACTATTTCACAAGAGGTCTATAAGGTATGTTGTGACCATAGAATTTAAAGGGGCATTGTTAGAAAAGAAAAGCCTAGCCAGTGTATGGTTTATATCTGTATAACAGCCTCATGTTAGGCCCATTGTGAAGTGGCAAAAATCATAAATACCAGACAGTATAACTGGCCAGTTAAATGATACATAGATCCTGTGTTTCCCCAAATGTTAACATCATCATTAGTTAGGTATATGGTACATTGTTAGTAAGTAACATGTTGTTAGTATGGTATGTACATTGCATATCTTTTTAAGTATGAATGTCATTAATTAGATTCTGAATTATGAAGTAATTATTACTCATAAAATTTTGAGGGGAAGGAAGATGGCGGCGAGGGGAGTGCATTACCCCCGTGTGCTGCTTCACTGTGTGGGAGTATGACAAGTCAGGACGGCTAAAGGATATCTTGTTAGGAATTTCCAGCAATAGTGGGGTGCGCCGGAACCTGGAGGAAGGATTTCCATCGCACGAGGATCGGCTACAGGGACTCAAACGCGAGAGGTTTGTCGCACGGAGGGTAAAACTGCTTATTCAGCAAATCGCCCCGCGGCTAGAGTCTGCAACGCGCGCTGGGATAGAGACGCAGGGTTACAGTGCTGCAGTTTCTGCCAGCCGCGCAAGCACCGCACTCAGGGCTGAATTCTGGGTTCGAGACGGGGGAAGGAAGCGGTCCATCTCGGTTCTCCACACCGGTCAGACCACAGAGGAGGCCAGCAGCCACCATGTTGGTAAACTGACGTCACCATACCTGTTTTTGACTGACCGCAGCTCATTCAGCCATAGAACAGGTAATTTCAGGCTGCAATTCGCCTGCGGCTTGCAGATTGCTAGGGTTCAGCACCTGGGTGCTTCTTAAAATCTGATCTTATCGGAGTGAACACCGAGCGCGGGGCGGCCGAGTTCCGGCTCCCGGAACCGTCCCGGAACCGCCCTGGCTCAGGGCTGCGGAGCCTGCAGAGGCGGCTTCTTGGACCCTGCTACTATCAGAGCAAACACCAAGCACTAAGAAGCCGAATTCCGGCTCCCGGAACTGAGCCTGCGGGGACTGCTTCTTGGAGGTTACACTTATAGGAGCTTACACCAAGCACGGAGCGGCTGAGTTCCGGCTCCCGGAACCGTCCCGGAACCGCCCTGGCTCAGGGCTGCGGAGCCCGCGGAGGCTGCTTCTTGGACCCTGCTACTATCAGAGCAAACACCAAGCACTAAGCAGCCGAATTCCGGCTCCCGGAACTGAGCCCGCGGGGACTGCTTCTTGGAGCTTACACTTATAGGAGCTTACACCGAGCACGGAGCGGCCGAGTTCCGGCTCCCGGAACTTCCCTGGACCGGGGCTAGGAGCCCGCGGAAACTGCGTCTCGGTCCGGGTCCTGCTGAGGGCCGGTCAGGACTCACCCATTGCTTGGGTTGCCCGGCAAGGGGAACGAAATGCTGCCATTCGCATAGGATACCAACATGGCAGAGATCTGATGTCAGCAGAAAGCGGTGGAGGAGAGATCTTCATCAATACCAGCGGTGACATAAGCAGTTGGTCTCCTGGTAAGGGGGGTGAGGCTCAGTCACCCGAGTCTCCTCAATTTGTCCTCGAGCCAGAGGGAAGGAGCCGGGCCGCCGCCAGCCCCCGGAGCAGGCCCAGCGGCTCGCCAGCGTGGTGACCACGTGACCCCAATTGGAGAGGGGGCGGAGCGGAGCCGCCACCAACACCCGCCAGGTGGGGAGACCCACGACCCAGTAGTACATGGGCGTGGTAGGAGGGGCAGGGCAGAGCCGCCCTTCGCGCTTGCAAGGTAAACAGACCTGTGACAGCCTGGCGGGTCAGGCCCAGTGGCCTGCCAGTGTGGTACACACGTCACCCCAACTCGAGTAGGGGCAGAGCAGATCCTTCTCCCACGCCCGGATCAGGCCCTGCCGGTGTGGTGGTCACGTGACCCCAATTGGAGTGGGGGCGGAGCGGAACCTCCACCCGTGCCCGCAGGGTGAGCAGACCAGTGATCAACCTGCAGATCAGGCCCAGGGGTCCGCAGGCGTGGTAGGAGGGGCAGGGCAGATCCGCCGCCCACGCCTTCAAGGTAGGCAGACCTACAACAGACCAGCGGATCAGGCCCAGGAGCCTGCCGGCGTGGTACAAACACCACCCTAATTGGAGTAGTGACAGAGCAGAGTCGCCTCCCTTGCCAGAAACAGACCCAGCGTCCTGCAGGCGGGGTAGTCACGACACCCCAATTGGAGTAGGGGCAGAGCAGAGCCTCCACCCGTGCCCGAAAGGTGGGCAGATCTGCGACCGACCAGCGGGACAGGCCCAGTGCCCTGCTGGTACGACAGACACGTCACCCCATTTGGAGTAGGGGCAGAGTAGAGCTGCTGCCCGCGCCTGCAGGGTAGGCAAACCTGCAACCGACCGGCGGATCAGGCCCGGTGGCCTGCTGGCGTGGTACACTCGTCACCCCAATTGGAGTAGGGGCAGAACAGAGCCGCCACCAGCTCCCAGAACAGGCCCAGTGACCTGCTGGCGTGGTAGCCACGACACCCCAATTGGAATAAGGAGAGAGCAGAGCCGCCGCCCGCACCTGCAGGAAAGATACGCAAGCAGTATGAAAAGACAAGGAAAGAAAGGACCACAAGCAATGCAGGTCAACGCAACTTTAGAAGAGGTAACAGCTGCAGCAGATGGAATGTCAGATAAAGAATTCAGGATATACATGCTTCAGATGATCTGGAGTATCAAGGAAGACATTAAACAGCAAAATCAGACAATGAAAGATCACTTCGACAACGAATTACGCAAACAAATCCAGGAAGCAAAGGATCAACTATAGAGGGAGATAGAGGTTATAAAAAACAAGCAATCAGAAATCCTAGAAATGCAGGAAGCAATAAACCAACTTAAAAACTCAATGGAGAATACTACCAGCAGAGTAGAACACTTAGAAGATAGAACATCAGACAATGAAGACAAAGTATTTCAACTGGAAAAGAACATAGACAGCTCAGCAAGACTGTTAAGAAACCATGAGCAGAACATCCAAGAAATATGGGATAACATTAAGAGACCAAACTCAAGAGTCATTGGGATACAGGAAGGTACAGAGCTCCAAACCAAAGGAATGAGCAGTCTATTCAATGAAATAATACAAGAAAACTTCCCAGACTTGAAGAATGAGACAGAATCCCAAATCCTAGAAGCCTACAGGACGCCGAATGTGCAAAATCATAAGAGATCCACACCTAGACACATTATAATGAAGATGCCCAACATACAGAATAAGGAGAGAATTTTAAAAGCTACAAGAGAAAGGAAGCAGATTACATTTAGGGGTAAGCCAATCAGGATAACAGCTGATCTTTCAACACAGACTCTGAAAGCTAGAAGATCCTGGAATAACATATTTCAAACACTGAAAGAAAATGGGTTCCAACCAAGAATTGTGTATCCAGCGAAATTAAGCTTCAGGATGGAGAATGAAATTAAAACCTTCCACGATAAACAAAAGTTTAAAGAATTCGCAGCTAGAAAACCATCTCTTCAAAACATCCTCGCCAAAGCATTACAGGAAGAGGAAATGGAAAATAACAATGAAAACCAACAGTGGGAGGTAGGACAGTAAAGGGGGGGGGGAAATAATCAAAGAGGAAAACAAACAATGTTTAGTAACAGAAATAAACAAATATGGCTGGAAGAACAACCCATATCTCAATAATAACCCTAAATGTTAATGGCTTAAACTCACCAATTAAGAGACACAGGCTAGTAGAATGGATCACAAAACAAGACCCAACAATATGCTGCCTACAGGAGACGCATTTGATAGGAAAAGACATACATAGGCTGAAGGTGAAAGGTTGGGAAAAATCATATCACTCATATGGACTTCGGAAACAAGCAGGAGTGTCCATACTCATATCAAATAAAACAGATTTCAAGCCAAAGTTAATCAAAAGAGATAAAGAGGGACACTACATACTGCTTAAGGGAACCATACACCAACAAGACATAACAATCATAAATATTTATGCCCCAAACAATGGTGCAGCTATGTTCGTCAAACAAACTCTTCTCAAGTTCAAGAGTCTAATAGACCACCACACCATAATCATGGGAGACTTCAACACACCTCTCTCGCCACTGGACAGATCTTCCAAACAAAAGTTGAATAAGGAAACTATAGAACTCAATAACACTATTAATAACCTAGACCTAATTGACATATATAGAGTATACCACCCAACATCAAGCAGTTACACTTTTTTCTCAGCAGCACATGGATCCTTCTCAAAAATAGATCATATATTATGTCACAGGGCAACTCTTAGACAATATAAAGGAGTAGAGATAATACCATGCATCTTATCTGATCATAATGGAATGAAACTGAAAATCAACGATAAAAGAAGGAAGGAAAAAGCATACATTAATTGGAGAATGAACAATAGGTTACTGAATGATCAATGGGTTATAGAAGACATCAAGGAGGACATTAAAAAATTCTTAGAGATAAATGAAAACACAGACACAACATATCGGAATCTATGGGACACATTGAAAGCAGTTCTAAGAGGAAAATTCATTGCTTGGAGTTCATTCCTTAAAAAAAGAAAAAACCAACAAATAAATGATCTCATACTTCATCTCAAAATCCTAGAAAAAGAAGAGCAAAACAACAGCAAAAGAAGTAGAAGGCAAGAAATAATTAAAATCAGAGCTGAAATTAATGAAATCGAAACAAAAGAAACAATTGAAAAAATTGACAAAACTAAAAGTTGGTTCTTTGAAAAAATAAACAAAATCGACAGACCCTTAGCGATGCTAGCGAAGAGAAGAAGAGAGAGAACTCAAATTACTAGCATACGGGATGAAAAAGGCAATATCACAACAGACACTTCAGAAATACAGAAGATAATCAAAAACTATTTTGAATCCTTATACTCCAATAAATTAGAAGATAGTGAAGGCATAGATAAATTTCTTAAGTCATATGATCTGCCCAGATTGAGTCAGGAGGATATAGAAAACCTAAACAGACCAATATCAATTGAGGAAATAGAAGAAACCATAAAAAGACTACCAACTAAGAAAAGCCCAGGTCCGGATGGGTATACAGCAGAATTTTACAAAACCTTTAAAGAAGAACTAATACCAATACTTTTCAAGCTACTTCAGGAAATAGAAAAGGAGGGAGAACTTCCAAATTCATTCTATGAGGCCAACATCACCCTGATACCTAAACCAGACAAAGACACTTCAAAGAAAGAAAACTACAGACCAATATCTCTAATGAACCTAGATGCAAAAATCCTCAATAAAATTCTGGCGAATCGGATACAAAAACATATCAAAAAAATTGTACACCATGATCAAGTAGGATTCATCCCTGGGATGCAAGGCTGGTTCAATATACGGAAATCAATAAATGTTATTCACCACATCAATAGACTTAAAAATAAGAACCATATGATCATCTCGATAGATGCGGAAAAAGCATTTGACAAAGTACAGCATCCCTTTATGTTCAAAACTCTAGAAAAACTAGGGATAACAGGAACATACCTCAATATTGTAAAAGCAATCTATGCTAAGCCTCAGGCTAGCATCATTCTGAATGGAGAAAAACTGAAGGCATTCCCTCTAAAATCTGGAACAAGACAGGGATGCCCTCTCTCTCCACTTCTCTTCAACATAGTTCTCAAAACACTGGCCAGAGCAATTAGACAGACGAAAGAAATTAAAGGCATAAAAATAGGAAAAGAAGAAATTAAATTATCACTATTTGCAGATGATATGATTCTATATCTAGCAGACCCAAAAGGCTCTACAAAGAAACTATTAGAGCTAATAAATGAATTCAGCAAAGTGGCAGGATTTAAAATCAACACGCATAAATCAAAGGCATTCCTGTATATCAGCGACAAATCCTCTGAAATGGAAATGAGGACAACCACTCCATTCAAAATATCTTCAAAAAAAATAAAATACTTGGGAATCAACCTAACAAAAGAGGTGAAAGACTTATACAATGAAAACTACAGAACCCTAAAGAGAGAAATAGAAGAAGATCTTAGAAGATGGAAAAATATACCCTGTTCATGGATAGGCAGAACTAACATCATCAAAATGGCGATATTACCAAAAGTTCTCTATAGGTTTAATGCAATGCCAATCAAAATCCCAACGGCATTTCTTGTAGAAATGGATAAAGCAATCATGAAATTCATATGGAAAAATAAAAGACCCAGAATAGCAAAAACAATGCTAAGCAAGAAGTGTGAATCAGGCGGTATAGCGATACCAGACTTCAAACTATACTACAGAGCAATAGTAACAAAAACAGCATGGTACTGGTACCAAAACAGGCGGGTGGACCAATGGTACAGAATAGAGGACACAGAAACCAATCCACAAAACTACAACTATCTTATATTTGATAAAGGGGCTAAAAGCATGCAATGGAGGAAGGATAGCATCTTCAACAAATGGTGCTGGGAAAACTGGAAATCCATATGCAACAAAATGAAACTGAATCCCTTTCTCTCGCCATGCACAAAAGTGAATTCAAAATGGATCAAGGAGCTTGATATCAAATCAGAGACGCGCCGTCTGATAGAAGAAAAAGTTGGCTACGATCTACATACTGTGGGGTCGGGCTCCAAATTCCTCAATAGGACACCCATAGCACAAAAGTTAATAACTAGAATCAACAAATGGGACTTACTCAAACTAAAATGTTTTTTCTCAGCAAAAGAAACAATAAGAGAGGTAAATAGGGAGCCTACATCCTGGGAACAAATCTTTACTCCTCACACTTCAGATAGAGCCCTAATATCCAGAGTATACAAAGAACTCAAAAAATTAGACAATAAGAGAACAAACAACCCAATCAACAAATGGGCCAAGGACCTGAACAGACACTTCTCAGAGGAGGACATACAGTCAATCAACAAGTACATGAAAAAATGCTCAACATCTCTAGCTGTCAGAGAAATGCAAATCAAAACCACCCTAAGATACCATCTCACTCCAGTAAGATTGGCAGCCATTAGGAAGTCAAACAACAACAAGTGCTGGCGAGGATGTGGGGAAAAGGGTACACTTGTACATTGCTGGTGGGACTGCAGATTGGTGCAGCCAATTTGGAAAGCAGTATGGAGATTTCTTGGAAAGCTGGGAATGGAGCCACCATTTGACCCAGCTATTCCCCTTCTTGGTCTATTCCCTAAAGACCTAAAAAGAGCATGCTACAGGGACACTGCTACATCGATGTTCATAGCAGCACAGTTCACAATAGCAAGACTGTGGAACCAACCTAGATGCCCTTCAATAGACGAATGGATAAAAAAAATGTGGCATTTATACACAATGGAGTATTACTCTGCATTAAAAAATGACAAAATCATAGAATTTACAGGGAAATGGATGGCATTAGAGCAGATTATGCTAAGTGAAGCTAGCCAATCCCTAAAAAACAAATGCCAAATGTCTTCTTTGATATAAGGAAAGTAACTAAGAACAGAGTAGGGACGAAGAACAGGAGAAGAAGATTAACATTTAACAGGGATGAGAGGTGGGAGGGAAAGGGAGAGAGAAGGGAAATTGCACGGTAATGGAAGGAGACCCTCAGGGTTATACAGTGGAGGGGGTAGAGAGAGAGGAGGGGAGGGGAGGGGAGAGGTGGGGAGGGGGGAGGGTGGATGATGGGAAAGGCAGCGGAGCACAACAGACACTAGTATGGCAATTTGTAAATCAATGGATGTGTAACTGATGTGAATCTGCAATCTGTGTATGGGGTGAAGGTGGGAGTTCATAACCCACTTGAATCAAAGTGTGGAATATGATATGTCAAGAAATTTGTAATGTTTTGAACAACCCACAATAAAAAATTAAAAAAAAAATACTGATAATGTAAACTTCACAAAAAAAGAAAACTCGATAGCTATCTAGTCAGAAATATAAAATGGTTGCTTACTTAAAATCATTTTATAATACTTAACATTTTATTTTAGGACAATTTTAGTCCCTTATATATCTTTAAATAATATGTACCCATTTCAAGAGTGGAAAACTATGAATGACTTAAGCTCTACTAGTGTCATAATATGCACATGCCATGTCAGCTTCTTAAAACTTCTGGTGTTGACTGTTTTACTCATGGTCAACATCATCAGTTTTAACCACATTATTATTGCTTAAGAAAATATGTGTGTTTTTATATTTCCTTTGATTTCTTAATACATTTATTTTATTAGTTGACTGCAAAAAAAAAAAAATAAATAAAATTTTGAATTCTTTGGTCTGGCTCAATTTAATGATAATTATGCATATTGAAATTGAAAGAAATACCACCACGCTTCTTAATTTTGAATAGTTTCAACTTTTCATTGCAAAGGTGATATAACACATCATGGAAGAGAGACTATCTAAGATAATTAACATGCTTTTTTTCCCCTAAGATGTAATTACAGAAAATTTGGGCTCAAATAACCGAAGTATGTGTGCTTTTGTGTGTGTGAAAATTTCTTAAAATAAGCAATATTAAACCGAATCCCACATCACTAGAAAGGTTAAATGTTTGGAATCTGGAGTATAATTCAAACTGTATTTTTAGAGACACATAAACTAAAAACTCTTAAAATGGAATTACTTCTGCTTGTCAAAAGCCATTGCTGGCTTCACTTTTGTATATGCCTAATACTATAGATAAAAAAGAAAAATGGGCTACGGTTTTGTAGCTCAGTGGTAGAGAGCTTGGACTTGTATGTGTGAGGCACTGGATTCAATCCTCAGTACCACATAGAATAAATAAATAGATTGTGTCCATTTATAACTAAAAAAAATATTTAAAAGAAAAACAAAAGTATAATGCAAGTTTTAGTCAGATTTTATAAAAAGAATCCTGTCTAGGAATTGGAATTGCCTCTGTAAGGCAGGAGTCTTATGTTGTGTGCATCCTCCATGCTTTGTAAAGTGCATGCTAAACCTCAGGAATTTTGTGGGCTACTGCTGACTAAACTGTCATGTTTAATATTCGTATAATTTTGTTTACTATTTCAACATATTGAAATATTACAATATTACAAAAAGATTTCTATTAATTAGAAAAAGTATTGTTTACAATAAACCATTACTCTCCTTTATGGAGAATTTCCTCCTTTGAACATCCAATAAAAACACTGTAAAACAATTGAGGATGGTTTATAATTTCATATATGGAGTGGAAGTATTGATGCTTTGATAGGCCTACCAACTTAAGGCCATTGGATTCCTTGGATTAACGAAGATGTAGATACCATACCCATAAGTTATCAAATCATCTGTAGAATAGTATTATATCCTCTCTTTTTAAAAGTATGGTAGTTTGTTGTTTTTCTGAAAATATAAATTGTGTGCTTTTCAGTGGATTATATTTTCTGTAATTAATTCCCTCCCATATCTTTTAAAGATTTCTTTTATAGCACAAACACCACCCTTGGGCCTGAAAGTGTATACACTTTTAGAAACAGGAAAACCAGATTCAGATTTGGCTGAATATGTTGTCTATAATGGTGAAGCAACAAGTGAAATTTTCAACATAAAGAGTATGATGAGTGACAGCGAACCTATAATTATAGAGAACCCCCACCTTATTCTTTCATTTGATAAAACTGGGCTTATGGAGGTAAGTTCTAAATAGTTATGAAATTCAAAGAAGGCTTGTCACTTTTAATTACATGTGCAGATTTCTTTGCAAAGGGAATAAAGTCTTTCTAAGAGCTGTACCAAATACTCCGGGTTTCTTTTGGATGAGCAGCTGTACAGCTTCAGTGGCCCTCATTATTCACAGCTGTGGTCTGTGGGTGGTACTAGTTAGTGTGAGGTGGTGCTATGCCATGGACTGTTAATAGTTCATTAGATAAGTTTTGAAAATGTCAATGTTTAGGAATGTTTACAAAACTCTGAAAACAATTTGATAGAGTAAAATTGCTAAAAGTAAAAAATTGAATATTCATGGCATGTCATTTTAAAAATAATTTTTAAATTCAGCTCTAGTTTTCAACTCGCTTTTATTGTACTTCTCAAAAATTTTGGCCCATGCATATTGGAAATAAAAAATAGATGTTCTCCTTCTACAGAAAGTTTGAGAAGCAGTGGTCTAGAATTCCTAATACATATAGCTCTTTGATCTTGATGAAGTGTGTTCTCACTTTTTGTTCCTATTGTGAAGGTTTTAAATTGTGAGGCTAAGTATAAAATTTTGGTATTCAACCAAGAATTTTGAACATTAGAAGCTTAAATTAGCACTTTTTCAATCTATTCTGTAACCATTTTTTTAATGGACACGTGCACAGAATCAGATGCAATGTGATAGTGAGTTGCTTAAATTTTTACCTTTAGACAATGATGACAAGGGAAGACAAGCAAATCCATGAAATAAAAGTGCAATTTACCTGGTATGGAACCACAAGTAAAAAAGACAAAAGCGGCGCCTACCTCTTCCTGCCTGATGGTTTTGCCCAGGTGAGTGGCACTGATGACAAGTGAAATATACTTATTGAAAGTATTGGGATGGGGTGTGTCTCATCAGTTTATCATTGATATGTTTATCTATTATGGATAAACTTTTGGCTCCAGTACTATGTTTACCCTTATTAATGCCTATCAATTTGTAGCTGAAAGTTAGATAAACAGTGTTTCAGAAGTGTAATTCAGTTAGAATGCTATAGTGAATGAATTTTTTGCATAAAAGGAAGCTAGATTTAACTTAAGGTTAGGATACTGTTGTGGTGTTTAACATGTGTGCAGCACAGCATATGTGCAGACATAAAACACCTAGTTCTGTGGGACAAATAGACTATGCAATCGACCGTATTTTCCTTAACTTTTAGCACTTCAATAAAACAAATTTTCCCTGATATATATAAAACAATAAAATTTACCAACTAGACCAGAATCCTGTGAAAACTACTGCCAACACTTTGATGTGTTATTTTTTATTGTCTTTTATTATATGCATATCCCTTCCCACTATTCTCAGTTTTGTCTCACAGGACTTTCATATTTTCTCATTTGTAGCAGTACTCACAGTCTGATGGCATGATTTTTTCTCATTTGTAGGTGTACTCACAGTCTGATGGCACAATTTTAATATACACTGGATGTGTACAAATTTCCTAATATTGCACATGTACTTTGTTCCAATTCTTCACTGCTGGGACATTGCAATAATCTTTGTTCCATCCTTTCGATGCGGCTCTGATTTTTTTTTTCCTGAGAATAACTTAGTAATTTTGCATTGGTGTATGAAGCATTTTTAAGTGTTCATTCCCAACGTTTTTTTTTTTTTTTTTTTTTTTTTTTTTAAGGAACTCTCAAATGTACTATTCTATGCACTGAGAATTAGCCATACTAAAAGTTTTGCCCATGATAATAGGTTAATTGAAATATATTTTCCTGTTAAAACTTTGTGATTACTAGTCAGGTGGAACTCTTTTTCTCCATTCATTATCTTTCATATTTGTTCTGTGAGTTTCCTATGTACATTTTTAGATCAAATGGTATATTGTTGTGTCCTGTAGATCTTTTTTTTGTCTTTCTTTTTTTTATTAGTTGCACATGACAATACAATGATCTTGACATATCATACATTTGAATCAAATGGGGTCCTGTAGATCTTTAATTACTCTTTTTGTATGTGGTAAAATTGATGTTTTCCCTATGTTGCAAAATTTTCTTTCAATGTGTCATTTAATTTTTTCATTATTTTTCTTTTATAATAGTTTGTAATGTTTGTTTAGTTATTTCTGTATTTTTTCTTTAGATTTCCCTTTTTTGCTTATAAACTTTATAGGTTTTTTTCCCCACCTAGAGATCAGTTAGCTATCCTCCTTAATGTTTTGTTGACTGCGGGACTTATCTTCTGAGAAAGTTACTTTTGTTCTGAAATTTTGGGACACCTGCTAACCAAAATCAAATATTTGATTTTTAGGAATTGTGTAGGCCACATTAAGGGCTTTAGCTTTATGTATTTTTTTTTAAGTCAGTGAAGAATTAAAGGTAAATTACAGCTCATAGTAGGTGTTCTGGAATGGACAGTGGATCTTCAGATTTTACCAAGGGGAGAGGTGCTTTAGCACCGAGTCACATCTCCAGCCTTTGTTTTAGTTTTTATGTTGAGACAGGGTTTCACTGAGTTGCTAAGGGCCTCACTAAATTTCTGAGGCTGGCCTCAAACTTGGAGTCATCTTGCCTCAGCCTCCAAAGTTGCTCCCACTGCGCGGGGCTTTTATTAAGTTTTTAAAGACAGTTGTGCTATGAAATATTGAGCGTAGATAAAAGTAATTGCATTATTTTTTCTTTAACTATGTGTAATGTCAGATAGAAGGTTAAAGAGAATTGGGATATTTTTTATAAAGGCAAAATAAAATAATAGCAGGGAGAGAGTCAGCTGAATGTATCAGAAAACAGTAGGAGCCCACACATCACCATCTCAGGTTCTCATCTCCCACCAACTTTCTTGCTATGTGCAGTAATCAGGTATAAGGATGTTGTAAATTAGTAAATATTTTATTAACTTCTGAATATTTTTCTCTAGCCAGAGATATAGATTTGGAATACAATTACACAATTCTTTGAATCTTACATTGCTCAAGTAGTTCACGCTGGAAGCCTAGCTTGTCATACTATTATCAAGCTAAGGTCTCTAATACTTGAAATATAATTCTTAAAGTATATGCTATAAAATATATGAAAATATAATTTTTAAAATAATATTTAAAATATAATTCTTAATAAATGCTTAAGTTTGTTTTCAGGTCACCTAAGTGCTTTTTCTCTTATTTTCTTGAACTTATATTTCAAATAATGAAAACTAAACCACTGGTTTCCAAGTATTTTTTTTAAGTTTATGAATTTGCTTTATATTTAAATAGTTCTTTCACATAACAGGCAAAATGTTTTAGTTAGTAAACCTGACTACGATTAAGCTGTTTCTAGATCCTGCTTTCTTTTTTTTTTTTATTTAATTTATTTTTTTTATTGGTTGTTCAAAACATTATAAAGCTATTGACATATCATATTTCATACAATAGATTCAAGTTGGTTATGAACTCCCAATTTTACCCCAAATACAGATTGTAGAATCACATCGGTTACACATCCACATTTTTACATAATGCCCTATTAGTAACTGTTGTATTCTGCTACCTTTACTATCCTCTACTATCACCCCTCCCTCCCCTCCCATCTTCTCTCACTACCCCATCCACTGTAATTCATTTCTCTCCTTGTTTATTTTCCCATTCCCCTCACAACCTCTTACATGTAATTTTGTATAACAAAACCCTAAAGAGAGAGATATAGAAGAAGATCTTAGAAGGTGGAAAAATGTACCCTGTTCATGGATAGGCAGAACTAACATCATCAAAATGGCGATATTACCAAAAGTTCTCTATAGGTTTAATGCAATGCCAATCAAAATCCCAACGGCATTTCTTGTAGAAACGGATAAAGCAATCATGAAATTCATATGGAAAAATAAAAGACCCAGAATAGCAAAAGCAATTCTATGCAGGAAGTGTGAATCAGGCGGTATAGCAATACCAGACTTAAAACTATATTACAGAGCAATAGTAACAAAAACAGCATGGTACTGGCACCAAAACAGGAGGGTGGACCAATGGTACAGAATAGAGGACACAGAGACTAATCCACAAAGCTACAACTATCTTATATTTGATAAAGGAGCTAAAAGCATGCAATGGAGGGAGGATAGCATCTTCAACAAATGGTGCTGGGAAAACTGGAAATCCATATGCAACAAAATGAAACTGAATCCCCTCCTCTCGCCATGCACAAAAGTTAACTCAAAATGGATCAAGGACCTAGATATCAAATCAGAGACTCTGCGTCTGATAGAAGAAAAAGTTGGTGCCGATCTACATATTGTAGGGTCGGGCTCCAAATTCCTTAATAGGACACCCATAGCACAAAAGTTGGTAACAAGAATCAACAAATGGGACTTACTTAAACTGAAAAGTTTTCTCTCAGCAAGAGAAACAATAAAAGAGGTAAATAGGGAGCCTACATCATGGGAACAAATTTTTACTCCTCACACTTTAGATCCTGCTTTCTATTACCTTATATGAATCTTTGTTGACATCCTTATCACCTGCCCCACACTCTGAACATTATAGGGGGCCTAGTTATTATAATAAATGTTAGCCTGGGAAGATGTCATGGCTGTAGAATGATTACTGTTTTTCAATAAATAACTATATGGCAGTATAGGGATTGTATATAGAAATTTTTATGCCTGGGAGAAATGTTTGTAGATCATCTGAGCCAATCAAATTGTAAACACTTGTAAATATAGAATTTGGCAGTTTTTAATAACTAAAATGTGATATTCAATTCTTAAGATGTTGCATATTTTGATATAATTAAGGTCTGGTTTTCATTTAAAATTGCAAATATTAGGTGATATGTGTTTGCCTATTTGGAAACTATATAAACATTTCTTGGAAAGATTTAGAAACCAAAATATGTTTACTAAAATTTATGTCATTTCCTCCTCAGCCTTATGTTTATAAAAAAGCACCCTTTGTCAGAGTGGTACATGGAAAGATTTATTCCGAAGTGACTAGCTACTTTGAACATGTTTCTCATACAGTTCGACTGTACAACCTACGGGGTAAGAAAACAGTTGTGAAATTTGTATACGGTTTCTTGGAATTTTGCTTTTCTTGTCATTTTAAATAAATTAGCAATCAGCTTATTTAGAGAGAATTTAATCTTCTTAAAATTAACTTAATATCTTCGGTGTACCAATGTAATATTTACCTTTTTTTTTTTTTTTGGTACCAGGGATTGAACTCACGGACACTCGGCCACCGAGCCACATCCCCAGCCCTATTTTGTATTTTATTTAGAGACAAGTTTTCACTGATTTGCTTATTAGAACCTCGCTTTTGCTAAGGCTGGCTTTGAACTTGTGATCCTCCCACCTCAGCCTCCCTAGTGCCTGGGATTACAGGCATTCGCCAACAGGCCTGACAATATTTACCTTTTGATAATAAAAAATGATAAACATTTCATTCCTCCGCATACACGTTTTTTCTCCTCTGGGTCTTCTCCTTCATTTGGCAATTGTTGCTTAAGTCATGAGTTTATTAACTAGAAGCCTGATTGTTAAGACTTGAAAACAATAATATTTTTGTTTCAATTGTCATAAATGACTTTAAATTAATGGAACACACACACACACAGAGACCTGTCTTCTTAAATATACAGTGTATTACAATCACATGTATTAAACACATATAACTTTAAAAGAAAAATGTTTCCAAGTAGTTCTGTTTGTTTATAGCTCTTTATAATGTAGGGTATGAAATCACACATTTAGTTTTTAAACAGTATTGAGCAGCATCTTTATTAGCTAAAATGATAAGAAACAGGCTTTTGATCATTTTTTGGAACTTAACCCTGGGCAGTCAACTGATCCTTCATGGGATCTAGGTGGAGCTTTAGATTACAAACACACTTTCAGCTACATTGGCTATTTTTTAATTCAGTGATTTTAGAATAGGGTACTTTTAATAGCCAGGCCATTTACTGGGTTATCAGTGCTCTTAGAAGTGAAACTTATAAAAATGCCATTTTATCTTTGCTCTTAGCTAAGCTGAAAAAAAAAAATTTACAACGGGAAAAACTAATGATAAACTGTGTTAATAGGCACTAATTCCTTTTGGGGCTTTATGGAGAAGCAAAAAATATAATTTTCTGATTTTAAAACTCTAAATTTATTTTTGCTTTGATTTAGGGTCTTTAACTTAAAATTTCTATGATTACTGTTTTTAATAAATAACTATATGGACAGTAATAGGGATTGTATATAGAAATTTTTATGCCTTGCCTTTCCATAGACTATTAGGTATAGACAAACCTTTTTCTCAAGTAACTTCTTAAATAATAATTGGATATATTTTTAAAACAATCCATGATTCCTAGGTTGAATCAAGAACTAAAAGGTCTTCTGGAAGTGGGAAAAGTAGTACTGGGCACTAACTTTGTGTCATAATTGTAACTTCTCTGCAATTCCTTTCTACATGTAGGAAAGCCTGTAGTTCTGAAATACTCTCCTATTGAGTTTCCCAAACTTCTGGCAAGCCAGAAACAATGTTTTGGATCATCTGATTGCATAAGCCTCTCCTGAGAGCCTAACATTTTCAGCTATCACAGAATGTTTCATTTTATGGGAATAGCATCACATGGAAGATGTGTTCATCTATTTTTAATTTTACTTAAAACTAGTTTGTTTAATGAGGATGTTCTTCCTCACGTGCAGCATAGCACATGCCTATGTCATCAAGATGGATTTACCTTTATTTTTCATCAATTGTATTTAGAGATCAGCTGTGTCCTAGAATAAAAGCCAAAGCAATTCATTCTAAAATTTCAACCTCTTAATCAAGAGTATTTGCTTAATTGCTTTTGTTTTTATTTAATTGTGTCTATCAATGTCACTGCATCCCTTGAGTTTTCATTGGGTTTTTGTGGGATTCTGGAACTCATGGGGTAGTTTGCATAGGGTACATAACCCCCTTCTTCTGCAGGTGTCTCTAGTTCAGCCTCCATTTTACCTTAGTGGCTGATTGGAAATTAATAGAGTTTGACTTGCCTGCTTACTTATTCCAACAAACTGTGCTGATCAGAACTGAATGGTTGTCTTCTTTACTCTCTTCCTGTCCCCACTGGGTAGTGAACTATCAATGGCTGACTAACAGCTGCTCAGCCACTGAGATTTGACTGGCTCTGGCCCTTCCAAATTACTGTCTCTTTAGTACTCTAAACACTTCTTGGGCTGTCAGTTTGGCTCATTACTATTTGCTGGCTTGGCTTCTGCCTTTTTTTTTTTTTTTTTTTTTTGTCTGCTTTATTGTTTCATTTTTCTTTTCTCATGTGTTTCCTTTCTAGATCCTTTCTCCTCTCTCTTCCTTGGTGGTGTGGTGCAGAGAGGCTTTTAAAAGGGCATTGCCTGTTTGGCAGGTACCTCATTTTATCACCAAATTGACCAGTATTGATACTTTGAACAGCTATTAAGGTCTTGGTTCTTACCTATTTTCACTTTTTCTCAGTACTTGTGGTCTATTCATTAGTTGCTAGAAAAATATTTTCAAATGTTGAAGTATAATTTTATGCCAGGTCTCAAAATTTATATAAATCTGACCTGTAGGTAATGGAGGTATTTTAAAAATGAGATTTGATTAGTTCAGAAAGAAAGCACTAATGAAAACATAAATATGGTCTTCATATTGCTTCTGAATTTGTTAGTGGGTACAATAAACTTGGACTGGAGCTTTTTTTTTTCCTTCTAATATTAGATTTTTATAGCTTGAAAGCAAAAAGCTTTAGAAGTTTGTGAGAAATGACAGATAAATAAGTGTAATGAGAAGTTAACTTAGAGTGCTTTTCTGGGAGAGTTTTACTCTAGTTGCCTGGATTAAATTGGAAATCAGCATGTATCAACTTGAAGTGACATCTGTATCTTTTTTCCTCTATAGCCCTCTGTATTTTTTTTTTTTTCAACATGGAAGGTAGTGGGAGATGAGATACCAGAATCACCTGGAAGGTTTTCTTCCAAGCTGTATCCCCTCCTCTGTTTGTGTCGGACAGAGCTCTTCCAAGATTTCCTTATTATCCCCATTATGGCAGTGTTGCCTTTTCTCTGTAGTCTTGGTGATTCACCTCTCTCTGTCCTTCTCTTTCCCCATTGACTGAGGATTCAGCGAGGTTTTAATGAAATCACTGTTCAAATCCTAGGATAGAGATGTAAAGTCTTCAGGATGTTTCACCATAGACATTCCATCTCCTAGAAGAATGTTCTTCAGGGCTGGTAGGCAGTACCAAGGCCTCTGTATTAAGAAACACCTGAAAGCTCTTTAACATCTTGAACCAGCCTCCTGTAAACCAGGAGTCTGCATGACTGATCAAAATAAGCAGACAGAAGGTGGCTTTTTATTTTAGATCCAAAGAAAATGTCAGTTAACTTCCATGGTTTGTAGATAGACTTTTAGCTAGTATTTCTTAAAATAACCAAAATGTTGATTGTCAAATTTAACCTATTTTTTAGATATGCTAATTTTGTCCCCCTAAGTTGGCCAGATATAATTATTAGATAAATATTAATGAACAGAGCCTGCTTCTTTTTAGGAACAAATTTCTGATCCAGGAAGAAATGGGAGTTGGTGAAAGGAAATAAATAGTTAATGTAATTTTATGTAATTGTATTAGGTTAGTAAACCAGCTAATTATATAAAAGATTTTATTTCTCAGCAATGAAAATGAGTTGTTAATATTATAGATATCTGTCTTTATTGAGTTCTCTATGTTAAACCTTTGAAATTTAGTTTATTGAAATATTCTTTCATAAAACTGAAGTAATGAAAACTTCACTAAATATACTTATAGTTCTCAGCCTCTTATTTTTCTTGCTCTTTGGCCTTTTTATCCCCTAAAGGAATTTTGCCCAAATTAAACTTTGGGAGAAAACAAGATGAAGAACACAAATCAAACACTTCCTAAATTACGTAAACTATTTGGTCATTATTGATTTTGAAACAAACTCTGTTGAGAGGCCTCAGTTCAACCCTACTTTTGATATTGGTTTGGTATTTAACTTTAGTTTCTCTGTTTGCACTCTCTCCAGATTTGGAAAATGATTATAAGTACAGTTGAAAGTCTGTCCTCCTTAGCATTATATAAACTATTAAAAAAACACTCTATGTTTCTTTTCATTATTGTTCAAACATCACATTCAAAAGATTTCTAGAAATATTAAATTAGAAGAAATCTTGTATTCACTAGCTTTAAGAGCTGTACAAGATCAGAGCAATTTCATAGATTTATAATGAAATAGAATTATTTGCCTTATGTCAGGTTAGATAAGAAATCCATTTTATAGCACACATAATTTAGTGAAATACCCTTTTGGAATAATTTTATAACTTCTAAAATATTGTTTGTAGAAAAATAACATTTTCTGAGGGGAGGAACGTTGAGGAGGTGGGAGTTATTTTTTCTTGTATAATCATCTTTTATTAAATTAAAGCTTCAAGCATCACTGAATAGCCTACTTTCCTTTTTTGTTAATCTTGGATTAAAAGATAGAATATAATACAAGCAAAAGCCCTCGTATTCTCTTGTAATACATTTGATATTCCACCATCACCAAGAGTATATACCTTGTAGTAACATAATGATCAGTGAGTAACATTGCTAACTGTGACTTCATTTGTCTTCAGAGCTGTAATTATTAGACTTTAGTGCCCTAGTTCCCTGACATCAACAGCTACTTTGAAAAATTAGGTTGCTATGGGTTACCACTGTGTCATGTACATTTACTCTGGCATAAGGTTGAGGTCCCAAAGCTGTTACAATACATATCTTCAAGGTCTCCTGGCCCCCAGGACTGTTTTCCTAGGCAGGTGGTGTGAGTGAGTATGTGTGTGTAAACCAAGTTTCAGTCCTTAGGAGAAATATCTTGAATGCAATAATATTTTTGCCTATTATTTACCAACATATTATAAAAGTCCTATATGTAGTGAATCTTACTAAAAGAAAGCAAGTAGCCTGGAGGTAAAATGTAATGAATTGCTATCAAAAAGTATGGAAGGAAAAATTTTCCTTTGACTG